AAACGTATGGGGTCCTTCAAAGACATCGTCTTTGGGAGGAAACAATTATTTTGTAACTTTTGTAGATGACTTTTCCAGAAGAGTTTGGGTGTATCCGATGAAGTCTAAAGATGAAGTGCTTCGAATTTTCCTGAAATGAAAAAATATGATCGAGAACCAGATTGGTAGAGAGATCAAACGTCTTAGGATGGACAATGAAGGGGAATATAAAAGTGACACATTCTTTGACGTTTTCCAAGAGTATGATATTGTTCGACACTTCACTGCTAGAAATACACTATAACATAATGGGGTGGCAGAGCGTATGAATCGAACACTATTAGAGAAAGTTTGATGTATGTTGTCTAATGCTGGGTTAGGCAAGACATTTTGGGCTGAGGCTGTGACATATGCTGGCAATCTCATCAATCGTCTACCGTCATCAGCGATAGAAGGAAAAACACCATTGGAGGTATGGTCTGAAAAACCTGCTACTGATTATGATTCCTTACATGTATTTGAATCCACTACTTATTATCATGTGAAGGAATCAAAGCTTGATCCGAGAGCAAAAAAGACTCTCTTTATGGGAATCACCCATGGAGTGAAGGGATTCCGCCTTTGGTGTTTAGACACCAAGAAGATAATTTGTAACAGAGATGTTACCTTTGATGAATCTGACCTAGTAAAGAAGGTAACAAATGAAGCTGTCCAGACAAGTAGTACTCCGCAGCATGTGGAGCATACTCCAAAACAGGTGGAGTTTCAGCAGACGATGATCCCAGAAGTTGATGCAGCTGATTCTTCAACTCTAATAGAAGAATCAGAAAATGAAGAGGTTCAAACCCAAGAACCATTGGAGACACCAGAACCACTTGCAGTTACAAGGCCAATGAGAGAAATTCGTAGACTTGCTCGATTTGTTGATATGGTGGCCTATGCTCTTCTAGTTGTTGATGATGATATCCCTATTACTTACCAAGAAGCAATACAAAGCTTGGAAAGTGATAAGTAAAAAAGTGTCATGGATGAAAAAATACAATCTCTCCAAAAGAACAACACTTGGAAACTGACACAATTACCGAAAGGTAAAAGAGCAATTGGATGCAAGTAGGTATTTGCAAAGAAAGATGGATCTCATAGCAAGAAAGATGTTCGCTACAAAGCACGGTTGGTAGCTAAAGGCTACGCTCAAACGGAGGGAATCGACTACAATTAAGTATTTTCCCCTGTTGTGAAGCATTCCTCCATTAGAATATTGTTGGCCTTGGTAGCACAGTTGAATTTGGAGCTAGCTCAACTTGATGCAAAGACGGTTTTCTTGCATGGTGATTTAGAAGAGGAGATCTATATGACTCAGCCAGAAAGATACAAAGATGGTAGTTGTGAGAAATGGGTTTGTAAGCTGAACAAATCGCTATATGGATTGAAGCAATCTCTGAGGCAGTGGTACAATTTGATAACTTTATGAGGAGGCAAAAGTACACTAGAAGCAAATATGATCATAGTGTGTATTTGCAAAAGCTCAAAGATGGATCTTTCATTTATCTTCTCTTGTACGTTGACGATATGTTGATCGCTTCGAAGAGTTAAAAGGAGATAGACAAATTAAAGACTCAGTTGAATCAAGAGTTTGAGATGAAAGATCTAGGTGAGGCCAAAAAGATTTTTGGTATGGAGATAAACAAAGATAGACAGAGAGGGAAGCTTTGTTTAATACAGAAACAGTATCTGAGAAATGTATTATAATGTTTAGGCATGAATGAAAATACCAAACATGTAAGTATCCCATTGGCTTCTCATTTGAAATTTAGTTCTCAATTATCTCCTAAAACTAACGAAGAACGAGAGTATATGGCAAAAGTTCCATATGCTAATGCAGTTGGGAGCTTGATGTATGTAATGGTGTGTACGCGTCCTGACATTTTACAAACAGTTGAAGTTGTGAGCAGGTACATGCATGATCATGGAGAAGGACATTGACAAGCTGTGAAATGGATTCTACGGTATCTCCAACAAACCGTGGATGTTGGTTTAGTTTTTGAACATGATGAAGCACTTGGTCAGTGTGTGGTTGGATATGTTGATTCCGACTGTGCTGGTGATTTGGATAAGCTTCGATCAACTACTGGGTATTTGTTTACTCTTGCTAGAGCCCCAGTAAGTTGGAAGTCTACTTTGCAATTTACGGTGGCTTTGTCTACTACAGAGGCAGAATACATGGCAGTTTCAAAAGCTGTGAAGGAAGCAATTTGGCTTAACAGGTTGATGGAAGACTTGGAAGTTGTTCAAAGTCACATTAGTCTCTATTGTGACAGTCAGAGCGCTATTCACTTAGCGAAAAATCAAGTCTACCATTCAAAGACTAAGCATATCGACGTGAGGTATCACTTTGTGCGGGAGATCTTTGAAGAAGGAAAGATTCTACTTCAGAAAATTGCAACATCAGAAAATCCTGCAGATATAATGACCAAGGTGGTAACAGTAATCAAGTTCAATCATTGTTTGAACTTGATTAACATCCTGAAAGTTTGAGCACCTTCGGGTGTATGGCGTTTGTGAGCGCAATTAGAGGCACTACATTAAAAGAGCTTCATGAAATGTGGGGAGTTGAAAAAGTTGAGTAGGCTTGGTAATTTCAAGCTAAGGTGGAGATTTGTTATGTTTTGGCTTGAAATTAAATTTGACAAGTTAGAAATTTCATATTGGTTGGTGGCCAACTTATTTGAAAAATTCATCTTGGTTGGTGGCAAACTTATTGGAAAATTCTTTGGTAGGTGGCCAACTTATTTTTCATCTTTGATCCCTAAAATATTAGGTTATTTATAAGTTTAGTCATTAAAACTCAACTATAAATAGGCCTAAGTATTTCATTAGAAATCATTCTAGAAACAAGTTCTCTCTTCCTCTTGTTTTCTTCATTCTCTCACTTTGGGAATTCTTTCTAAAGAATTCCATTTGTTGTAATATTTGTTGATAGTGAAGGTATCATCTAGTGTGGTGCCCGAGGAGTAGATGATATTCTCGTCGAACCTTGTAAATTTGGCATATTCTCTCCTTTATTGTTTTTTATTCGGGTTTTTTTCCATTGTGTTTTAATATTCAATAGTTTGACAGGTTTATCCGCTGTGCAACCTTTGGTGGTTTTGATCTTGACATTTTAAGTCAATTTTGAAATTACGTTCGTGTGAGAAATAACCCGGTTTCCCCAACAATTACGAAATCATTGCTCATTACTGAGCATGCTGGAGTGGCTAATATGTACACTTTATTGGTTTTTATTGCCAAATGATATTCTATCATGGCTTGTTGTAAGATTAGATTGTTGGTGCAAGCCGTTTATAATGTTAGAACAAGCATATAGCAGCTGGCCCCTGGTGAGAGAATTATTTGCGTGATTGATGGAGCAAGCTTATTTGCTTTCTACTACGAAATATTTGCTTTAGTGTTTCTTTTTCTATGAAGCCTTGATCCCATTTTCTGGAATTCTTATTGTTGTAGGATTTTACTTTCATTTTTCGGAGAAGGGGAGGAGATGATCTGGAACAAAACCACGCCCGGTGGGCGAAAACTGCCGGTCCTCTCCTGATGTCATTGAAATGACTTTCTATCCTATAACGGCTATGCTTGATGGTGTAGCTGGAAAGGAGCATGTGGCTCGAGCTATCAGTCTCCATCTTGAATGTAATACAGCTACTTCTTTGTAGTTAATTGAATACAATCTTTTCTTTCAACAAATTCTTTGTACTAACTGGATTATTTGCTCTGATTGTCGGCAGACAAGCCTCCAATTGAAGAACTGCGATATTTTCTGGAGTTTCAAATTCCTAGGATATGGGCTCTTGTACAGGATAAGATTCCTGGCCATCAGAGGAAGGAGCCTATCTGCCCATCTTTGTAATTCAGCATGATGGGCCAAAAGCTTTATGTCAGCCAAGAGCAGGTATAGGCTTTTGCAACTTGACTTTTCATATAAAAACTTCATGCATGGTTTTGCAGCCTATGAACCGATCAAACATCATTGTTATGATTCTGGAGTTTCTGGTCATAGGGCATTCATTATAAACAACCCCATGAAAGTTACTGGGGAATTGTGAAATAAATCATTGCAAGAAATTTTTGGATTTAATCTGGGCTCAATGTAAATGCAGATCTCAGTTGGGCGTAAGCCGCTGACAGGCTTGCGGTTACAAAGGGATCAAGAAGAGTCGTCTGAGTATTCATCTTCAACACAAAGCTTCTCTTCCAAAGATCCTGCTTCCACACTGGGACACGCGTGTAGCAATTGGCGCTCCCAAGTGGCTGGGACCTGAGGAGCAAGACAGCAGATGGTTTGAACCTGTGAAATGGAAGAACTTCTCTCATGTTAGTACTGCACATGTTGAAAACCCTGAAACCTTTATAGTCGACCTCTCTGGCATCTACATTGTCACGGGAGCACAACTTGAAGTCTGGGATTTCGGGTCGAGAAATGTCTTGTACATGAAGCTCTTGTATTCTAAGGTTCCTAGCTGCACAATACGAAGATCTTTGGGGGACACACTCCAAACAAGAAATCAAAGAAGGTCGTTGCTACTACGGGTATTACCAACTCCGGGGACTCGGGTATGGCCACACAAGAAAACAATTCAAACAAGTTGGCAAAATTCGTCGATATGTCTGAGATGAGCAAAGGGCCGCAAGATCCACCCGGTCATTGGTTAGTTACTGGTGGAAAGCTTGGTGTTGAGAAAGGCAAAATTGTTTTGAGAGTGAAATACTCCTTGCTAAATTATTGAACCTCGCCAAGGTTTTGCAACAAATTCTTTTTTGGCATGTACATTGTGTTCATGTTTGTAAAGTATTGTGCTTTGATGAGAGTTTGGTTCGAGTAGGTGGTACCTATTAAGTTTAGTTCGATTCGAGATAAAAGCTTGAACCGTTCATTAGGCTTGTTAATCAACTAACTATTAGCTCAATTTTCATGCTTGGATGATATCTGATTGGTCTGAAAAACATTTACAATAAGAAATCACCAATTATTTAAAAATTATAAAGGATATTAATCCTTAAAAATTATGGTCAATCAACAAACAAATTTCAGACATTATCTTATGGATATTCCCTCCAAAATCCAAACTTAGTAGTTGGAGGGCACTATGCATACATTGAAATGTATAAATGTATATATATATGGCACTTGCTCGCTTATTTCACACAAAGCCAGCGGGAGCCACCTTGCTACCTATGCATAAAACTCTCGTGTGACCTTATACAAGTAATTTTTCAATTGAATTTGTCTTAAAATTGGCCTCCTTCAAATGTTTGTCCGAATTGCCATCCACCAGGCACCACATTGTAGTTTGTGATGGTCCTGCCATCGCTGTCTGTGACTTTGAAAGACAGGCTTTGGCCATTCAGGTAGGCATTGCTCTGCCAGTTTTGGCCCCAGTTTCTCGACATCGGTAGCCACCCCGTCTTCGAACCCTTGATCGACACCGACTTTATATCCCCAGCACCTGCGACGTTTGTTATCAGAACTAGGTTGAAGTATGAATGCCCATTAATGGTGTATCGTATGCCTCCTTTCTTCACACATGAGACCCTGCAAAAGGTTAAAAGAACACTAAAGTATGGTTGAAGATATAATGAGTGAGTGATGATTTGAATCGAGCTGAATTGTGGTTTATGACCTTCTGTAGAGAACAGGTACGATTCCAGCTCGATATTCGGCAATCTGCAAGAAAGCTGGTTCGGCCAAATCAAAGTGTTCTCGGGGGGGATTGCACCAACCACCATTGTCACTTGATAAAGCATAGTTAGGGGGGCAAAAGTTGGTGGCGGTCACGGTTATGGTTCGAGTAAAACACCATTTAGGAGCATCATTGCACCGGAGCTCGTAGCAGGAACCACAGCTCAGGCCATTGTTGAAAAGTGAAGTGCTCAAAGCTGCTGTGCTCGTTCCATACCCTTGACTATACAAGTTCCCATAACCACAAGCTCCCCCTAAAACAAACATCACAAATTACATGTATAACACAGAAGTTCCATTTTTTATGTAGAGTGAAAGTTTGAAACTCACCCATCGTGCCGGTAGCATCAGCACCACCGTAGAAGGTGGCATGTGCAGTTTGCCAGCCGCCATTGTCATCTCCATTAACGCCCTCGAATCTGCAGTTGCAGACAAGAAACAAGCAGAAGAAGAAAAGGGGAAATAGTTGCAATGTTATCGTTTTGGTGGCCATTTGAGTGAGAGATAGCTATAGCTCAAACAACCGGCTGAACTTATTGATTGTAGCAATGGTTTGAGGATCCGAAGCGGAAAGTGTGTAACTATTTATACAAAAACCACCATAGCTACTAAACGTAGGTAAGTGGTGAAAGAACAATAATTAGGATTAATAATTAAGCGACGCATAAAAAGGGCACATGCAAAATTTTATTTTGCATAGGACCTGTGATTGGTCCCGATTTAGCAGCCATGGTATTCAATATTTGCTCAACGCCTTGTTTTAATGGATATAAATATCGATAGATAGATACATAATGTTTAGTTAAAGCTTTTATTTCCCTCCAAAGGGAAGCCATAACTATGAAGGAAGGTTGAGCAATGAGTAGACAGCACTGATCCGTGCAGTTTTCAAAGTCAGAAATAATCGAAGGAGTGTCGGGCCGATTAAACCCTTAAATTACAATATAATTTTTTAAAAATACATACCATGGCATAAAATCATACAGCTGTCTCTGTTTGAAGTGTTGGTCGAGCTGAGTTGTTCCATTGCAGTCTCGTAATTGCTTGCAGTTGAAGCCACTTAAAACTAAACTAAACACTGTAATGTCCAACCACCACCCAACCATCAGAGGAATTAATTTCCCTATCATTTATCAGGTATAATTATTTGAAGTTGGCTTGATGAATGGTGTAGTGTTGTTGATGAATGGTGAATTGGTGTAGTGTTGTTGATGAATGGTAAATTGGAGTAGCGTTGGTCGATTTTCAGCCACCCTATCAGATTCAGGTTTTTCTTTTTCTTTTTCGTTTGTGTTGAATGTTAAAAACAAACATAAATAAGGAGTTATTGTAGGTGTACAAATTTATAGACGGACAGTTAATCATGTGATGTTATCATCTAAAATCAAATAAGGTTAAAGAATTTTAATTTACTGTTTTTGTTTTTAAACTCAAGACTCGAGACAATTTTTATGCCGTCCGTATCATAATTTTTATTCATTTATACGATTCTTGTCATGTTCAAGCATAACATTTATAGTTGTCTAATTAAATACAATATTTGATTTTGTCAAAACATAAAAATCATTAAGTTGAGAACTATAATAATTTCACATCTATATAACTGCAGAAGATTAATATATGATAATGATTCATATATTAATCTAAAAACGAGTTGATCCAATATTTATTCTCAAAAAATTCATATGAATTTTATTTGTATCTTATTCACATATTCATGGTCGTTAAAGTTTGATTAAGTTTTTGTTTTCCTCACTAAAGTTTTAAAAGTAACAAATTGATCATTAACGTTATTGATTTATAATAAATTGATCACTAGCCCTTAACGGCCTTGATAGAATCAGATGTCGCACGTTACAGCCACTTTGACCACTTTTTGACTGTAAAAAATGTTTTTTTATAACAAACCCTTATTTTCTTTTTCCACCTTTCCATGTTCTTGTCCTTCTTCTTCCATGCAAGAAAACTCATCAATATATCTATAAAAAGATATCCCAGCAATACCACTATCTCCCAGCCGAGTATGTGACCAACACCATCAAATGAAAGAAGCAAACAATTTGAATCTTTATTAACATTGTTGTTTTGATGGGATTCTTTTCTCTCTAATTGTGCACGAACCTTAAAGAGTAGTCAACAATCCTTGATCAAAAGACTGCAGAATGATGATACAATCTGTACACAAAGGATGCCATCATGAATGAACATGAAAGGGAGGGATCAACGCAAGAAGAAATAATTCTCATTCAAAATTTAGCATACTGCATAGGGTACATATCAAATTCCAATTCTATTTAATACAGCCAAACGTTTTCCCTAATAAAAATTACTAGAATCGACAGAAAGCTGAAGAAATACGAGCAATCTTCTTTCACAAATGGAAAGGTGTTGACCGAAGTAATAATCTGAGACAAAATCAAACATGAGAAAATCAAACAAGAAAGTTAAACTTTATAAAATAAATCAAAATTAAATAGAAATAAAAGTACTCCTTTTTATTTTGATCAGTTGAGATCGAAATTAATTGAAGTCTGTTGTTACACATTTTTCTTAAGACATATTTTCGACCACTTATTGGTGTTCCAGTTCGTTGGTCATTTGTCTCCCAGTATACAACACCTTATGATCAATTGCAGCAACACATCTGCATAGATCACGAACGAACCTTACCTTTGACGATCACCGAAAAACTAAGAAGAAAAGAATATTTTTTAAGGAGATAAAATATTTTTTCAAGAGAAGAAAATTCTTCAAATCTGAGATGTGAAAAACTATTGTTTTCTCACTATTTATAGATATTTTAAAGAGAAGTTTAATCCAACCAAATATCTTTTAATATTCAACTTTAAATAGATTAATATTTTTTAATTTGAAATATTCAAAAGATAAAATTTCTTTTATCATTCAAACTTAAATATATATATTATTTTAATTTGAAATAAACAAAAAAATATAATTATCTTTAATATTCAAAGTTAAAAATGTAACAAATATCTTTTTAAATTGACATATTCAAAGAGTAATTATCCTACTAATATTCAAATTAAATAATATATTTAATTTGTAATGGTCAAAAGATAAATTTCTTTTACTATTCAAACTTAAACAATATTATTTTAATTTGAAATATAAAAAAATATATAATTATCTTTTAATATTTAAAATTAATATAACAAATACATTTTTAACTTGATTTATTAAAAGTAATGTTATTAAAACCGAACGGGTGGCCTGTCAGGTCCGGTTAACTTCCAAAACTGGATGAGCACAGAACCGGTAGAACCGGCTGAGAACCGGGGTGAACCGGCTGAAAACCGACAAAATCGGTGTGAACCGCCAATTATCTTTTTTTCTTTAAAAAAATTAAACCAAACGACGTCATTTGTTAAATGAGCCGAGTCGAACTCGAGTACTGCTGAGCTCGACTCGAACTCGAGTACTGCTGAGCTCGACTCGAACTCGAAAACTTTAAAAGTAAGCTCAACTCGACTCAAAAACTCACGAGCTAAAAATTATCAAGTTCAACTCGAACTCGAAATATAATATTGAAACTTGAACTCGAAAATGCTTGAACTCAAAAAAATTTTAGAAGCTCGATTGAAGCCTGAAATTCGAGCTCAATTGAAGCGAACGAATAGTTCGCTCTGTGCTCACCAAAAGGTTCCATGATTTTGAATGTCAAATTACCTCTAGTATTTATAGAAGTCAGTTGGGATGCTCTTCTATGTTTCTTAGCCATGTGAGATTGTTTTGTTCTCATATTTTTACTCTTTAGACTTTTGAGATGCTCTTCTATGTTTCTTAGCCACGTGAGATTGTTTTTAAAAAAAAAATTAAACCAAACGACATCATTTGTTATGATTTTTTTCAGCCCCAAATTTATTTTTTAATTATAGTTATATAATTATATTTATTATTTAATATGTTTTACCTTAAATATTATGTTGTAGTTGATTTGAATAATTTTGTTTTACTTGATTTTATGTTTTTTAACTTATATATGTTATGACTTGTGATATTTTTATACCTTTTAATATTGTAAACTTAAAAAAATATTATATATATATTAATATTGCTTTGAATATTATATAAAATTTTTAAAAAATATTATTTTATATAAAATCCGGTTGAACCGCGGTTGAACCCGATTGAACCAGTGAACCAGTACCTTCACCGGTTCAAGGTCCGTTCCGATTTTAAAAACATTGATTAAAAGAGTAATTATCCTCCTAATATTTAAATTAAAAATTATATTTTAGTTTGCAATAGTTAAATTCATCAATTAAATTGACTCTTTTTCCAGAAGTAGGCAAGGACTGGTGACCATAGTTTTGGAACTCATTCACTATTATCTGCAAAAGCAAAACTACGGAATTAATTCCAAGGAGTCAAAAGAATGGAACGGGGCAAAATATTCGAGCGGCATAAACATGGGAGGCAAAGCATACCCAAAGGACACATTTGACGGGTCTTCAACCATCGGCTGATGCAGTGAAAGTGGAATGCATGGTTGCAGACACCTACATAAACAAAAGCGATTAAATGCCGAAGAAAGAGTTCAGGTTAAGATATATTGTAGTTTTTGTGTTGTTTCATTCACTCCTCTACTTCATGAAACCAGCAACAAAAAGCTAGTTGAAGAATGGGTCCTAAAGCTCAATCCTTGTGTTCAGTATAAACCATACTCAAACAGTCCTTGTGTTTTATATTTTCCTTCTCTTCTACATACATATTGCAAACTCAATTGTACAATCCCAACAATAAAACATGCCTAAAATATAACCATTGAGAATATATACGTGAGAGCAATGTTTCAAGGAGTGCAAAAAGGAAACACACCCCACGCAACAGTGCATTCCTCACTGGTAGCGCTTGCTTGGTTGGCTTGGCATTCAAATTGTTTGATTCTTACTCTTGATGGTGTTGGTCACATACTTGGTTGGGAGATAGTCGTACTGTTGGGATATATTTTTATAGATATATTGATGATGTTTCTTGCAAGGAAGAAGATGAAAGACAAGAAGATGGAAAGGTAGAAAAAAGAAATGGGGGTTTGTTATTAAAAACAAATTTTTTAGAGTCACAAAGTGGTCAAAGTGGTTGTAACGTGTCAATTTATTATAAATCGATAACGTTAGTGATCAATTGTTTACTTTTGAGACTTCAGTAGGTAAAACAAAAACTTATTAAAACTTTAGTGACTATCTATGTAGTTTACCCTAATTGATTAGGGATAATTATAATAATCAATAATATTATTCAATGATATTAATATCGGTAAATTATGCTTTTAGTACCTAACTATTAGTTTTAAAAGTTAGTATTTTGTTTCATTTTAGTATACTGTTCAAAATTTTACGTTAAATTTTGAAGAAAATATTTAAAAGTTTAGGTACACGCAAATTGTGATAATAATAAATTCAATAATCAAAACATTATGTCCATACAATATGCCTATAACACTATTACTAACAAGAGGTAGATGAGAAGACTCACGAATTTTCTTGTCATATTGACGAGAATCACATGCTACCGCCTACCTCATCCACTGAGTTGACTCAATAGCTAGG